ACACACACACACACACACACACACACACACACACACACACACACACACACACACACACACACACACACACACACACACACACACACACACACACACACACACACACACACACACACACACACACACACACACACACACACACACACACACACACACACACACACACACACACACACACACACACACACACACACACACACACACACACACACACACACACACACACACACACACACACACACACACACACACACACACACACACACACACACACACACACACACACACACACACACACACACATTCTTTTTCTCACACAACCTGGGAAAATAATATATATATACATTTTGTCTCTATATATACAATGCTCATATATAATTATAAATAATCCTAACAAACCAGCACATCGTCTTTACGTATCAGTAATATAACGTCGATGTTCAATGTAACATTTTAACATCGATGTTATATAAGTAATGCATAAAGGTGAGTTGCTGGTTTGCTGCGATGATATATGTTCCACATGTAAAAAAAAAGTGTTATAGGAATATAATCGAAGTAAATGTTTATGTTTATGGCTGGTTGGGATACACTTCACTGAATGAAACAATTTTTTCCGTATTTTACTTAACAGTATTTTAATTTCGTGTAGACATACAAGATATTATTTAATTGTAAAGCTATATAGAGACAAAATTAATATACAGGGTGTCTTACACTCTCCTCCGGGCATTTTGTGGGGACGTAGAATGAGTGCATTATCACGCAAAATCGTGCAATAATCTTCTTTAATTAATAATTAAAAATCTATGTGATTATCTGGAAAATGGTAGAGGACTTTTTTTGTTCAATTTGACCTAAAGTATAAGTACACGACGGCAGTCGTCGCTATTATAACTCATTTACCATATCCTGCATGATCATTCACAAAGTTTCTACAATTAATATCTCGATAATTATTGCGAATATCGCAAAACAGTATAGGACTTTTATGTTCACATCAACCTATTCTACGTCCCCACAAAATTCCCGGAAGAGAGTGTGAGATACTCTGTATAACCCAGTGAGCAGAATATTTGAAATCGACGCAAAAGATATCTTATAGTTATGCATTGATTTTAGACATTCTGTTCACTGCGAAATCACACATAATTATATATAATTATATGTCATTTATAATATTATATGTCAACATTTTTCCCGAAAATACACATACTCGCTTATTCAGTTACCCACATTCAATTTTATATAATATATTTATTAGACATTATCTGTATACTTACTCTCTCTCTTTCTCTTTCTCTCTCTTCCCCCTCCTCTCTTTGTAGGTGAAATATTTGCAGTATATAGGCGGCTTTAACCTCAAGGAAGCAGTAAACCTTTGTCTAAAGGAAGCTTTGAAGGATTCCTTCACAAAGTCCTTTACATGGTTGGGTCGAGAAGAACTACGGCTGTTATATAACAGTCGAATAATAATTGCTATTTACGGTTCTCTTTCTTTTTTCTATATAGACGTTAAAAGAATGCAAAAGTCGATAACGAACATGATAAGCGCCAATAACGTAGAAGCGACTCTGAAAATATAACTTTGCACAAACAGTGAAAGGATCGCACCATACTTTTTTATATTTTTTGTACATATTGATCTTAGTAGCTGTCAATGTGGCCGAAACTAAATTCTGTGACAATACTCCAATCACGAATATTTAAAAGCACATATTAATATCTTTTAAATTAGATATAGAATACAGGGTTGGGAAAGTTACTTTGTACAAGTAGTTACAGTTTAAAATTCTCTTTGCTGAAAATGTAACCAGTTACAGTTACAAGTTAGTGGCTATGAAAGTAACTCGTTACAGTTAGAGTTATTCAAAAAGTAACGAGTCGTTATTTTTAAGTTATCTTCTTAAAGTTATTGTAAATTATTATTGTAAATACAAAAATCTTACATTTTAAGCTTTACTAAAATGTAAGAATTGAATTTTATAATTAATATCTATCACATTAATGAGTTAATCTACTTAACAAATTTAAAATCTGTACAATTTTATATTGCAGTTTATATTGTATTTACACTTACGTAACATCTATATGAATAAGAAATACAAAAGAGTAGCTCACTCGTGTTAATGTTTATGTAATATAACATTTTAAGAATCGGCTCTACGTTATGCTTATCGAGTTTGTTGATACTTACTTCCCATACAGAATATATCTCCGAAATACATCTTATTGATATCTTATAGATATCGCGATATCTATAGGATGTATTTTGGACATTTGTTCTGATGATGTAAATTTACATCATTGCGATGTCTAATTAATGGTAGTATAAATAATGTGTTTCTCTTGCAGAAGCTGTATGCAAAAACCAACATTTCCAAAAGCTGACTCGCACGGAGTTTCAAGAACAAGCCAAAGAAGCTCTTCGGACGGCGAAGGAAAGAGCCAGGAACAAATTGCATGGTCCTCGTGCACAGATGCCTAATCGGAGAAATCACGATTTTTGGAACGATGAGCCTGAAAATGAACAAGAGATTGGAGATAATAATCAGTAATGGTAAGAATATATATTAATAATGATTATCAAGGCTCCTGGGTCCTCACTATACCTTATGTTTACCGCAACATATTTTGACATGCGATTTCTCAATCTGACATCATTAAACGAGGCACCTAAAGCAAGGACACAAGAGTCTTAGTCCCGATCCACAATAGATAATTTAAGCCCTAAGTTTTAAGAAATTGACCAATCACAGTTAAATTTGAGGAGAATAATCGACTGTGATTGGTCAATTTCTTCAGGCTTAAAGCTTGCTACACCTATTGTGGTTCGAAACTTCATGTACAAGAAAGAATAGTAATAATTACATCCACAAGTGTGCATGAACAAACATGCATGCATATATAATAATAGAGAGTTCTTTATGTAGAGTTACAGATATACCTAAAAGATTCCTACCCACCAACTTAGGAAAGATGCGCTCATTAACTTTAGAAGAAGACCGAAGGATGCCCGGCAAGACTAATGGAAGGACTGTCCACGGCGAAGAGGAGAAAAAGAAAATAAATCGGCACTTTTCAGCGCCAACTTGTCTCAGTGGATATTGAAGCTGTGCGAGAGAGTATTTGGTTCCGAACGAAAACTGAATGAAATCGGTTCAAGTAATCGTTATACTAAAACCGATTTCAAGATTCTTAATTGAATCGATTTCGAAATTAGTTGTTTCAGTATAAGGATTACTCGAGTCCATTTCCGAGTTCCGAGTTCGGAACTAAAACTTCCTCGTACAGCTCTAATGGAGACTAATCGGTACTTTTCAGTGCCTATTTTTATTAATTTAACGGGAACCACCTCGGCTATCGCAATCGGCATTTTTCAATGTCATTTGTATATTGGGACGAATCAGTATTCGCCCCACTTTATTAATTCACATTTTAAAATTTGTTTCTTCTGTTTTAGTCAAGGAGAGAAATGTTTTGGAAAAATTGTATAATAGTAAGATTTACCATTTTACTTGTGGAGGACCAGAGGATCTATGATTTATGTAAAATTGAAAATTGTTATACATCATGTATTGCATTATATTACTCATTATGTATTATTATTATATATGTATACTTACTGTATAAATAAATTATTATTATTTGTCTTATAATAAAACAGGTTACAATTATTTTCTGAAAATAAAGAAGTAAAAAGAATGGAAATGTATATTGTAAAGGTCTTCTCATATTAATGACGTCACAATTTAAATTGCTACCAAACAACAGAGTTTGCTCCGTTTCTGCTGCCATTCTGTTGTCAGGTTGCGTTGCGCAAATACTGCTCCATTTCTGTCGCCAATCTGCAGTCAGGTTATGTCCGCAGGATCTGCGCGGTTTCTGCTGTCAATCTGTCGGCAGGTACTGTCAGCAGACCCTGTTGGCAGAATGCTAGCAGAATGCGGCCGCAGTTGATGTCAATCTGACAACATATTCCGAGCAAATCTGCTGCCAGTCTGCCGTCAGACGGCTATCATTTTGCTTACGGGGTATATGTTACATATCAATGCACATTTCTTGATCCTTCGTAGTTATATAATAAGAGATTTTAGTTATATGTGTGCTTGCTGGGTATCATATACATATACATATGTTACATATCAATGCAACTTCCTTGATCCTTCATGGTTATATACCACGAAGTATCAGTTATATGTGTGTTTCCTGGGTATATATATATATATATATATATATATATATATATATATATATATATAAACTATAAATGGATAACTGTAAGAGTACTGCTTGGTTTGGTTTCCAGATTGTGTCCTTCATGAATTTATTCACAAAACGTTCATGAATTTATTCACAAAACGTTCGGAACATATTCACAAAGAGCATCAACCTAAAAGCCAAACCGAGCATTTCTTCACATTACGAAAGCTTTAACATAAATACTGTATATATCTTAATAAATAAATAAACTACTTATATTACTATCATTGTTAACAAAATTATAAATAATGCTCGAAACAAATTACGAGGGCTGTTTGATAAGTCAGTGACTTTTTGAATATATTTTTTTCGGCAAATAAGCGTTTTATTTTTCAACATAATCTCTTTTTAGCTCGATACATTTAGTCCACCGTTTTTCCAATTTTCTTATTCCTTCCAAATAATAGGTTTTCTCAAGGCCCTCAAAATAGGCGTTTGTTTCGGTGATGACCTCTTCATTCGACCCAAATCTCTTACCACCCAGCCATTTCTTCAGGTTTGGAAACAGGAAATAGTCGCAGAGGGCTAAATCTGGAGAATATGCTGGATGGGGTAGCAGTTCGTAGCCCAATTGATGGATTTTTGCCATCGTGACTACACACGTGTGCACCCGTGCATTGTCTTGATGGAACAGCACTTTTTTTCGCCAAATGCGGTCGTTTTTGCTTCAAATCAATATCGAATCTGTTTCAAAGCTCTGAATAATATTCGCCGGTGATCGTTCCACCCTTCTCAAGGTAATCGATGTGAATGACATCGCGTGCATCCCAAAAAATTGTGGCCATGACCTTGTTGGCTGACAGACCCACCTTGGTCTTCTTTGGTGCACGTTCACCCGGTGAAACCTACTGTTTTGATTGTTCCTTGGTCTCTGGTGTATTGTGATAGATCCATGTTTCGTCCACGGTTACAAAACGGCGCAAAAACTCGTTCGGATTGCGGCTGAACATCGCCAAACACTCTTTTGAAGTGGTCACACGGTTGTGGTGTATGGTTATGGTCGAGTGTGAGCAATCGCGGCACCCATCTCGCGGATAGTTTTTTCATATCCAAATATTCATGTAAAATGTGATGTACCCGCTCAGTTGAGATGCCTGCAGCCTCAGCCACCTCACATACTTTCATTCTCAGATCGTCCAATATTATTCCATGAATTTTATCGACGATTTCTGGCGTGATGACCTCTTTTGGGCGACCTGAACGTTCGGCGTCACTTGTGCTGGTACGACCACAACGGAACTCAGTAAACCACTTCTTAACCATTGAAATTGATGGTGCAGAATTCCCATAGTATTTATAATATCAAGTCTTTCCTTGGTTTCAGTGATGGTTTTTTTACGCAAAAATTAATGCTTAATCAGCACACTAAATTCACTTTTTTCCATTTTTGTTACAATTCACGAGGTTGTCTGCTTTCAGTGGCTGTCAAACACAAACTAAATGACGCAGCTTGCTCAACATTTAACAGTAGTCTATTAATAGATGACGGTTGACGGCAGCAGTGTTGCATTTAAAGTTACTGCGCGGGGAATTCAAAAAGTCTCTGACTTATCAAACAGCCCTCGGCCGATGGCTACCAACGGCGAATGTGTAAGAATTTATTTCGCTCAGCGCTTAGGGATTAACGTACCCTTCCGAATATGTGAATATGTACGAAAGCGATCTTCAAAAAGAAGTATGACCATGAAATATGTTGTCGAGATCATAATTCTGTATAATGTTTACAAGACAATAAAAAATACATGAGTCAAGCTCTGGGGATGTACAATCTAATACAAAACATTAAGTAAAAATTCTAAAATGCAATTTATTAAAATTTTAAGTATAAAAAGAACGCTTTATCAGCTATATTGTATTATAGAATTGCATAAACAATATAAATTTCATAAAAATTGCCATAAAGAATCGAAAACTTTGATTGCGCTTCCTTTGATTATAAATCGTTGTTTCATATTAAGATTAATACGTATTTTAACATTTTATTTCGGTTTATCATGCAAAACTGACTGAAAATTGCCATAAGAGAATTCAAGACGAAATAAATAAGGATTGATCTATTCATTTTAACATATATTGTTACGATTTAAGTCTATAAGTAAGGACCGGTTTGACTAACTCCGGTTAAGCTAATCAAGGGTTAAAAGTAGCAGAGTGGCCAACTTAAATGCGACGTGCCATAAACAGTGTCATACTGAATCTTAATGAAGAATTTATATTCAATGTCGATATTGGCACTTCTGGTAGTTAGAATTTAACCGTCTGTTAGTTTAACCAGAGTTGGTGAAACCGACCCTAAGAAGTAAATGACATTTTTGTGTATCAATAGCTGGTATATTCTTTAGCTTCATCGGTACTTAAACATATATTCAAATCATTTTTCAAGTCTTTATAATGCGCGTACGTTTTCAGTAAGGTTATAGTATCAGTACATGTAGTAAATATTGGTCTCTGGCTTAAACCTACCGTCTCATTAAATTTTACTTTAATATTGCTAGGCATAAGAAAAGATCCAGTAATTAAAAACAATAAATTTGTTAGTTTGTCTCTATCAAGACATTGAATGTACATAGTAAAATAATGCAATACATCATTTTCTTCATTCGTTAAGTAAGGATCAGTTACTAAACAATTAACGACCTTTGTCGCAGTAGGTGTTTGCATATCTAGAAGGACATCAAAATCACAATTATTCCAGAAATCAGCATATTTTTCTGATGATACACCTTCCTAAATTTTTGCAATCAATCTTTTCGGTTTCTCTATTAAAATTTCTGTAGCAATAATATTTAATTGTTCTGAGAACATATCGGAATTTGGTTTTGCAAAAAACCGATGTGCCTGAAAAAAATCCTGCACAGTCTCACTTTTTTTTTCAGTTATAGACATAAAATTCTTTACAACTTTTTTCAAAATCTTCCGCAAGTATAAATTTACATGGCGCAATAGTATCTATAATAAGATATCTGATTCGACATGTTTTTCAGGATTTGCAATTAACATTAGTGTAATTCTTGATAATTTTGCAGGAACTTGATTTACCAAAAGCAACATATACTGCGAGATCCGTCCAATTATAACAAACTTGTCTAATTCTTTTAGTCTGTTTAACTCTAAGTACGGGACTATACAATCCTCACCTTGAAAAAATATTCCCTTACATTTAACAAAGAAGAGATTAAACAGTTCTTTAGTAAGACCGCCCCCATCAATACCTATTTCTCCGAAAAAAGTAACGCACAATTTTTTGTTAACTACATGCTTATCCGTATAAAATTTCATCAGATCATAAATACAGTTATTCCTGCATATATCAATAGTGATTTCTTCGCTTCCTCTGGAAGAGATGGAAATATTAGACATTTCTCTGCAATAGTTTCTTCTCTGACACCAGAAATTCGATAATTGTTTAATTATTATTTTTAAGCCAGAATTATTATCAATCTCAAAATAAATATCAATAATTTTTTCTAGTCTTTAAGATCATATTTTCTTTAATACTAAACCATACGTGCTAAATGATATAATTCTAATTACGTACCCAACTGATCATTTTCATCTTCATCAAATTCTTCTTCTTCATCATCTTTATCAGCTATTTGGAATTGTGATCTTCTTGATCTTCTTGACAAGCGACTCGTTCCTGAAAATTGTGGAATAGTTGGCGAACTATTTGACAAAGTTTGATCTAATCCAATATTGTCAGAATCACTATCTCTCTGATATGTTTGAATTAAAGGTAGCGTAGAGCTATCTCTTGATGTTTCAGGAAGAGAAGCATTTGATTTTTCAATAAGAGGAAGATTATCTGGGAAGTCGTTCAAAGGCAATACGATAAGTTTACTTTGCATTAACTGATTTTCCAAATCAGTTCCATCTTGAATGTTTTCAAAACAAAAAATTCTCTTCGATTTATCTGCTCTTCCCAATCTAAAGCCGCACATTCTTAATAAATTTTGGATATGAAGTTGGAAAAGTGAAATATCTTCTTTTATTTCATCAAACGATCGATCTCTTTCTATTTCAAGCAGTTTGTCAGATAGACCTAAATATAAAATTTATCAGTAATACATTAATCAAATCTGGTTTTCTAGGAATTAAAAATATTTCTAATTAAATAAATAAAATATATGTGTACCTAATCCTCTCTGTTTTAAAAATTTTAGTTCTATATTGGTTGGAAGGAAATCGGCGTGTGCGAGTTTCATCAAAACAACTCTTCTCTTAAACGTCCTCTTTCTCTTTCGTCCTTTACATGGACTAGGTGAAATATCACTTCTCCTGAAATTTCTTCGAGTAGCAGTCACTAACGATGAAATGTTTCGTTCTTCTTGTGTAGATTCGTTTGCCGCACTAGCTGCTACCCTTAACAAGCGATCGGATATTTCTCTTTCGTCGCAAATTTTTAACTGAAATATATATGTGGCGGTCGAGCCTCGCGCGCCGTCACAAGCGACGCTGTCTTGCACGAGCGTGCCAAGCCGTAGGAAACAGCAGCTCCTCCCGCGACCGCTCTTCTAGGCTCCGCGGGAGCCTCCTGGAGCCACTAGCGGGACATGCGCAGGCAGGCCTGAGCGCGAGCCTATCACAGCGTTACACGGGCGCCCACGTGGTGCGCCACGTGGGGTGCCACGCGGCGCGGCTCGTGACGCAGCCAAATGCCGGTCGCAACAAGAAGAAGACGAGGAGTCGCACCGAGAGGAAGCAGCGCATGTGGAATTCTCGACCAATGGAGGTTATTCCTGCACAAGGCGTGCCGTCTTCGTTTGTCAGCGGCGTACATCGCCTTGGAGACATTCGGCGCCAACAAAGGACGAGACTTCGTCGACTTCCGCGCCGCCCCGTCACCAGAGCTGCCAGATGTGGGACCGAGTACGCGTAACTATAGTGCGTGCGGCGCAGCGCACACAAGCGAAGAACTGTACGTGTGGGCTACCTGTCATGAACTATAGCGCTTGGCGTTCGGCCAGGCTCGGGCGGTGGAAGAGTGCAGACGTACAAGCTGCCGTCTCTCTCCCGACCTATAGCTATAGCTAATACTGCAAACGGCGAGAATCATGCCTAAGCCTTTTTATTATATCTCGGCGCTCGCGTGTTGCTTCTCACGTGTGCGTATTTTTACTACTTAACTCATTGTTACCTTAAATGGAATGTTTTTTTACACATAAAATACACTCGTCAACAAAATTATCGCATAGATTAATTTATGTCGAAATGTCACACAATTTTTAATAAGCATAATACCGCGAAACATTATCATATTTGAAATTATTTTTAAATTCAAAAGTGAAGTCTGTACTTTAAGAAGCATATTAGTCAGATATTTTGAAATTATTCTCTCCCCTTTCCGCAGCCTTTTCACAAAACGTGTTGCGTCTCCAAAAAATTGCACAATGTGACATCCTACGGGATGGAATAAATTTTTTTTGTAAATTTTATGATAACCATCGTCTAGTCCTTTCCCTACAATTAAGACAAAAAGTGGATTTGTGCATTTTTTCGCGGAATTGCGAAAAAAACATCAAAGTTACCTATACATTTTTGTTATCATTTCATTTGACGCACTCTATTGAGTGGAATGAATTCTTTTCACAAATCTGACGATAATTATTCTAAAATATCAGCATTTCCTTACAAGTAGAAAAATAAAGAAGAGGTATACATTTCTTCCGCGATGTTGTAAAGTGTATCAAAGTTACTTGTACATTTTTAATCAGTTATCGTGACGTGCACACACACACGCACGTGTAGCGCGCGCACACACACACACACATAATGCGCAAGACCCGACCAGCAACCGTACGCATCGGTAATATTAATTCTAACGGTAACTGATTAAAAATTCATCATCGGTACATTTGATATGCCGCGGAACAAAGTCATGCACACTTCTTCTTAATTTTCTTATTTGCAAAGAAACGTTCATATTTTACAATGGTTATTGTAAGATTTGTGAAAAGAATTCATTCCAGTAGAATGTGTCAATTAAACGATTTAAAAAAATGCATAGCTAACTTGATATGTCGCAACTGTGCGAAAAAAATCGTACAAATCCGCTTTTTTTTTTAATTGTGGAGGTAAGCCTATACTTAATGATAGTTATCATGAAATTTACGGAAAAATTTATTCCACCCCGTAGGATACATCAAATTGTGCAATTTTTTTTGGAGACGCTACACGTTTTTACTTATGAAAAGACTGCGGGAAGGGAAGACAATAAATTGAAAATCCGACTAATGCTTCTTAAAGTACAGACTTTACTCTTGAAATATTATAAATAACACTGAAGCGAGCGACAGAGACTACGTTT